GTACAGACTGGTCTAGGGTGAGGGCCGTGTCGGAGAGTGCCCCAAACTGATTGTTTCCCCCACCCCTTGTGCTGCGGTAGTCACTCGGGTCCCTTTCAGAGATACAGGTGCCGGAGCAGCTGCAGCTGTGCAGTTGTGCTTCGGAGAATGCGCCCCCTCCCCAGCCCCACCCCATCTTGAAAAGCAAGGCGAGTTGCGCCAAACTCCGGAACCCGCCCAGAAAAGCACAGCTCTTTGAAGGTGTGGGGCCACACCAATGTGACCCAAAACACCTGGCTGACTAATAACTGACCATCTGAGCAAATTCTTGTCTTAGTTTTGATAGTTTCCCCCCAAAGTTGGTCAACCCTTAGTTTTTCCTAGTTAGACAATCCTCTGCAAATAACACGCAATTTACCTTTTAATTTTTTTTTCTTTCTCCCTATTCTCCCAAGTGGAACTCGAAATCTTTTGGTGTGATCCTGCTGCTTAGCTTTAGTGGAAGCCCCCAGCCCCTGGGGGAGGCAGGGTTCCTTAGGCAGTGGTGTGCCACTCCATTAAGCGTCCTTGCAGGGTAGTTTCAGGGGGTGGGGCGTCTGATGCCCACTTCCTAGTGTGGGGCCGAGGGGCTGCACTATCCCTAGGCAGACAGTGGCCATGCCTTAAGAAGCAGAGCTACCTTTTTGTGCCTGCAGGGATCCTTCTTGCCCAAATCAATAGGTGTACATGCAGTCCCCAAGGGGTGGACCCTCAAGAGTTTGGGTTCTGTGAGGGAATCACAGCTACTCTGAGGGCCAGGCCGGTGCCCTTGGCTGCATCGCTGCTACTGAAGCGTTGGAATGGCCTCTCTGCTCCTGAGAGTTGTGCGCCTGTTGTCTTGTGTGACTCTTCATCCTTTCCCCTCACATGTGGCCAGGGAGAGTATTTCCTGAAATTCCCTCTCAAACACGTCTCCCTCTCACCCGGGACCTGAAGCATTTCATCAATCCTCGGTGCCTCACCTTTCCCATCCACCAGATGGGGCCATCAGCACTCCTCCCAGTACCTCAACGTTCCCGGAGCCAAAGCGCCACCTCAGTATGACTTGTTGGTCTTCCTGGTGCCTTTCTTGACCTAGGGTTGGAGGAAGGATGGCTGCTCTTAGCCTAGTATGTCTGTTTCTGGGACTGTGGGTTCTGGGCATTGGAAGGTCATTTGCAGAGGCTAATGATCCAAATGTCCTGTTGCATTGTCGTCAAAGCCACTCATTCTTGGAGTGTTTCCTTTCCACAAAGTGGACACAGCCCCCGCGGCCCCCCCACACCATATCCACCTATTGTCTCTGCCTTCTTCACGAAAGGTAGGAAACATCACTGTTTCCTTTAAAATTGGATGAAAAAATTAAAAGTTTCACCACCACCACCCACCCCAAAAAATCAGGATAAAGAACAACTGCATTAGGCATACTTTACCTTTCATGTATATTCTACTGAGCAGTATTGTCCCTAAAATGACTGATTATTCCCCACAATCTCAATCTCTCTCTCTCACACACGTACATCCCACAGATACACGTACATCCCCACTCTCTCCCCGGCACATGCCAATAGGTACAGGAGGAGTACTATGTAGAATGAAGCAGTATTAGAGGCCATACATGTAAGATGTCCAACCACCGAAGGAGATGTGCCCAGGTTAATCTCTTGAATGGTTGGAATGTTGTCCCCAAACTTTCTTCCTGTTGGTAACCGGGTTGTTGGTAAACTGGGAGTCAAAAGCATTTAACTAAAGGGTTCATGTGATTCTAGTTCTTAATCTTGTTTGCTCAAGGACTTTGGAAATCTTGATAGAAAGTTCTATTCTAAAATGATTACTGAACTACGTACATCATTTGAGGAGACAATCTGTTTTTTATTTTTGTTTGGGTGTTTGGATAAAGCACTAAAAGGTATGTTGCTTTTACCTGGCCCTTTCCCTAGTTTCTTTTCTGACATGCTGAGTCACCTTGGGTAGACCACCTGTTTGAATTCCCCAGCTGTAGAATGTCGATGGTGATTTCTGCCCTGCAGTGCCCACCCCCTCCACCCAACCACACCGTGAGAATGAATCAGAGTCTGGCTCATATACTCAACTGCAGATGCAGTCTCTACAACAGAAGGGGGCATGGAGAGTGTACTGTACTGACTGGTAGCATCTAACCTGAAAACCACCCTCCGTGCCCTGCAGTAGATTCCCACTCATAGCCACTCTGTAGGCCAGAGTAGCACTGCCCATCGGGCTTCTAAGACCCTGTCTCTTTATGGGAGCAAACTGCCAATTCTTCCCCTAGAGTTGTTGGTGGTGGGGTTGAACCATGGACCATTGGATTAGCAGTTAAGCACTTTAACCACTATACTACCTGAGTTCCTTTGTCATGTCAAGGTGTCCCCTGTGATACAAAGGCCCAGGTCTTTGCAATTAGACAAAAACACTGTTGAGGGAAAAAAGAAAAGAAAAAAAAAACTTAAGGGAAAAATCTTTGGATTATTAAAATTCTATCCAGTATAGCTAAGTGGAGGTAAAGCAAAACCAAGCCAAACTTAATGTTTAACACCTAGCCTTCCAAATTGTACAATGTCTAGGATAAGTGGCCGTGTTCCTCTTTAAAATGGAGTCATTCCCATAATGCATTGTGGGCTTTTATTTCTGTTCTTTTCTGTGATGAAATGCCAAAGAGGAGAAGGTGTTTCTTCTTTGAGATGACGCCAGATAGATGGGGGTGGGTGGAGACCAGTGTGTTCTCCTGTTGTGGAAATCCTCACACAGGCCCAGAATGTGCCTCAGAGCAGTGTGCTGGGAGCTTTCTTGCTACCCGGGAGATTACTGCTTGGACGTGGCCATAGACCTTCACACTTGGCCTCTGGACAGAGCCCTTTGCTCAGAAAAAAAAAGAGAATGTGAAGTGGGAGGAGAATGGGTGGGAATGGTTGAAAGAAGTTTATGTCTGATGTGTTGCCAAGGAAACAGGCAGGACCAAACCATTTCAGATGGAATTACCAGGGACACTAGTCCAGTACGGGGCTTAGGCAGTAATCAATGCCTATGTGGGGTTATCTGACCCGGAAGATGGAAGTTTCCTTTGGAAGCATTCAGACTGAGTCTTCAATGGTAACCAGGATTTGCCAGAAACAAAGAAGGGATTGGAGGAGGAAGATATATAAGGGTGTAGTTTGTGCTCATTTTAAAGGTCTACTATTCATCATTCCTTCCCTTAAAAAAAAAAAAAAATCACTTGGGACAAAGGTAAGCCCATCGAAGTCACTGTACTGAATTTACCCTGTAGCCAATGGTAAGCATCAACACTGAATGGGTCGAGGTACAGATGTCCAGTGGGAAACGTGTACCAACTTGACCAGATAGACAGGCCTCCATCCATGAACACCTTCTTGCTGTCGGCCAGGCACGGTTCTTGGTTCTGGGGAGATGGAGTCTGATCACTGGACCTGGGGATCGCATGTTCTAATATCATGAGCAGACTCTCTGATTTCCCCCACTGAGCTTAGCTACTCCCGACTCCAAGATTCCCTACACAGGTGGACCTAATGGTCCCTCAAAGCACTGACTTGAAGCCTTTTCAATTTCCTGGGGGCAAGTCCCTCACCCACCCACTCCCCCACCCCCCATCATCTAGTCACTATTGCTCTCCTTCCCATTGAGGAAACTTAATCACTTCCAATTCGGAAGGCCTACACTTAATCAGCTATATGTTGCAGGGAGAAGAGAAGGGGGTTAGCGCCTCTTCAAGGGCAATATAGGTCATACGCTTCACATAGGCTGCATGACCTTCATCCTGTCGGCACAACGGAACCTGGGCGCTGCCGAGTCCCCCATCCCCAAACAAGGAACCAGCTTCATCACCCCATTGTTACCAAAGCAAGAAAGTCAGAATTTGAGAAAGATCCCAACAAAAAAAAAACGAGATTGCTAGTCAATACCGAACGAGTGTGAAGTTTGGTGGAGCATACTCTCCACTTACAAGTCATCGAGGTAAGGCGCGGCTGCCACGGCCACCCCACCCCGCATGTCCTGGGGAAGCATTGGGCGGAGGAACATAAAGAAGACTTACAGCCATAGCCCAGAAAGGGGCCCTCGGGGACCCAGCAGACTTTTCTCAGCGCTGGAAAGCCTGCACATTTGATACGACCCGTCAACCCTGCAGGATCGCACCTGATCACGTGTCTTAGTTACACGTCTATTTATAGGGAGCACACATCTGCTCACATATGTGCACAGTTGACGCAGCGCCCAGCTCTCTCCTTCTGCCCACAACCCACACACCCAGCCCTAGGCGCCACCATCCCACCTCACCCCAACTGCAAACAAAAACCCGGCCCTCCACCGCTGCCCCTGGCCTCTTGCTTTCTTCTGTTTTACAGTTTAGGGCGGGACAGGTGCAGGGCTATGGAAGCACAGCAGTTTCCTTCTGGGGAGCACAAGCAACATTAGTAATTGAGTTCCTCCAGTGCAGTCCTTCCTGTCCCAACATGAGCACAAACACCTGGTCCAAAGTGAGTTTTAAACTCCCCCGCCCTCTGCGGTGTTCCTTCCTCCCCACTGCTCCAGCAGTGTCAAATGCCTGCACAATTCCCATTTGCTTATTGCATGTGCGTGCGTGCAGGCACTGAAGGGCACACAGAGACACACACACTTTGATCCCAGCATGGTGTTCTTACAGAAAGAACCTGTAGCTCTTACTCTCCAGGAAAGAGTACTCAAAAGAAAACTCCCTGACTTCGAGATAATTCTGACTCATAGCGACCCTATAGGACGGGGTAGAACTGCCCTGTGGGTTTCCAACACTGCAACTCTTCCCGGGAGTACAAAGCCTCATCTTTCCCCACTTGGGAGCAGCTGGTAATCACTATGGTACCAGGGCCCCTACCCCTCACCCCCCAGGGAAAGGTGACTCTAGGCAAATTGAGAAGCCCCCCAAGTGCAGGTCTCTGGCTTCTACTTACCTCCAGCCGCAAGGCTGCTCCAAGCCCTGGCCTGTGCACACCATGCTCCCATTTCTCAGACGCATCACTGGGGCACGGGGAGACAAAGGGTTTTGACGCTGTCACCATGACCCTCCTGACGCTCCTCTCCCTACTCAGTGTTAGAGATGGAATTTGGGTACCAGAATGTTGGCCCTTCTCGGAAATCTAATAAGACAGAATGGCTGACAGCCAGGCATCTCTGAGAACCCAGCCCCTGTGGTCACCAGGCCTGCAGTGTCTTGACTCATTCAGACGATTACATATCCTTTGATGTGCCCTTCTTGTTCATCTGCAAAATGGGGATAATAGAGCCTACGTGGTGGCTAACAAGTAACTTGTTGTGAAGTGAGTTCATGGTTGGGAAGCATTTGGCACAGCCAGTGGCAAACAGCGAGTGGTTTGGGTTTGCTCTCATTGTGCATGTGGACAGCGCAGGGAAGAACGGATGGGGTAGATTGAGCCGAAGCCAGCTGGACTGGCTGCCCCCTCAGCTTGGCCAGTAGCTCTTTGGAGGTTATCTGTATACCTTACTTTATGTTAACTCCCTGTCATTCCAAAGGAAAGCACTCTGGAATTAGTGTTCCCCCAGTGACATGTAGTGTTCTTGGGGCCAGGGGTGGGGACTACCTTGTTTACCAAACTTTTTGAAATAAAATTGAGACTCCCTTGATAACTCTGGAACGTTTAAGACTTTATCATTGACAACTAAAATTATAGCATGCTTTTCAAATTCAAGTCTTTGTTAGGGAAAACAGGTGTGTTTCTGTCCTGGTGGGACCCAAATTCTCTGATAGCGTGTTTGGCAGAACCATTTACAAGAGGCTGCAGGAGACCACCCTTCTGGGAGGCCCTGGCACCTCAGGATGTGGCAGCAGAATCTGGCAGGGATCCCAGGGTGCATCACCATCTCTGCTCTGGCCACATGGAGAAGAAGCCAGGGCCTGATGGCTTCACAGGGGGCGTGGATGTGGAAGTGGGCTGAATGGATTCGGATGCTGCAAGACTCTCCTCCCCACTACTCTGTTTCAGAGGTTGACCGGGAAGTTGAATTTGGATGCCAAATGTTGACCATTCAGGGAGTTCTCAATGGGTTAGAATGGCTGTTGTCTGAGGAACTCTGAAAACCCAACCTAGATGGTTACCATATGGATTACAACTCAATATAAAGAAGACCAAAATCGTCACAACTGAACCAATAGGTAACATCATAATACATGGAGAAAAGGTGGGAGTTGTCAGGGATTTTGTCTTACTTGGATCCCCAATCAAAGCTCATGGAAGCAGTAGTCGAGAGATCAAAAGACGTATTGCATTAGGTAAATGTGCTACACACGACCTCGTTAAGAGTATTGAAAACCAAGACTGTTACTTTGAGGCCTGTTTCTGTTGCCTCATCTACATGTGAAAGTTGGACATTGAGTAAGGAAGACTGAGGCAGAGTTGATGCCTTTGAAGTGTGGTGGTGGAGAAGAACATCGAAAGTACCGTGGACTACGAAAAGGACAAACGGATCTGTCTTGGCAGAAGTACAGCCAGAGAGCTCTTCGAAGGCAAAGATGGTGAGACATCAGCTTACATACTTTGGACTTGTTGTTGGGAGGGATCAGCCCTGGAGAAGGACAGCATCCTTGGGAAAATGAGGGGCAGCGATCATGAGGAAGGCCCTCAAGGCGATGGATTGACACGATGGCTGCACCATGGGCTGAAGCACAGGACCGACCGTGAGGATGGGCAGAACGGACAGCGTTTCTCCTCGTTCTGTGGTTCATAGCGTTGCTATGGATCAGAGCCAACTGGACGGCGCCTAACATACATAACATACGTGGTTACCGTACTTGCAAGACGAAGACTTTGGCAGAGGTGGGCTTTGGCATCCCTTCCAGAAAAGGGAGCCCTGGTGCTGCCCTGGTGCAGTCTCAACACACACCTTTCTCTGAGGAGAGTCAACCGATGCCCTCTCTCCTTTCTTAGCCCCAGGCCCTGCAGACAGCTGCACGGAGATGGTGGGCAGCAGTCTGCTAACCAAGCAGGACATCGTTCCCTTTACAAAAGGAAGTGAGGACCAAGAGAGGGAGGCAAGCTTCTTCATCATCTTTCCTCTGCCCTGGAGGGAGGCCCCAGTCGACCTCCGTGGCCTCCTGAGCTCAGAGAGAAGCTGTGGAGTCGGCAGCATATCCCTCCCAGAGGAGCCAGCAGGGTAGGCAGAAGCAGAGCCAGGGGAGCAATCGTGCCAAAGCTGGGCTGGCAGGTCAGAAAAACAAAGCCGTTCTCAACATGCTGTGCAGGTGACTGCTTGAAGCACTTCCTCCTCCCAAACTTCCCTCTGGGGTATGTAATATGATCCTATTTTCCAGATGATAAAATTGAGGCACTGACTTGAAGGGACTCAGCCTAAGGTCACATAAGCACCACAACTCAAATGCATCCGCTCCTCTTAGGTCAGGCGCATCCTAGTCCTCACGGTAACACCCTTGCTCTTTAAGACTCTA